CCCGCAGCGCGCGGCGCCGTTGCCGCGGCAACGGTGTGTCCTCTCCCCCCCGTGAGGGAAAACCGCTCCAAGCCAAAGCCGCCCCGAGAGGAAAGCTCAAAGATCCGGGCTGCGCCGGGAAAAAACCGCCCCCCCCCGCCCCACACACCTTGTTCCACGCCGAACGGAACAATTCTGAATATTCTTTGCTTATTTGAAGGCGCGCCAATGAGTGAGGCCAGCGTTCCTTCCCTGAGGGGAATAGATTTTCCACCGGACAGAGGGGCCCACCCAGCCAGACGGTAGGAATGACCAAGAAATGAAAATCTTACAGCCTGCCCGTGATCAATAAATAAGGCAGCCTGCCACATGCTGTAGTTGTGCAGTCAGTTCCCTCCTCCTACCCTTGTTTTTCATATTTCATGCAGCCTGTAACATGGCGTCTCTGTTGACAGGTATGAACTATATGCTCACACATATTTTCAATGTAAAGGCCATATACATATCATTATATATGTATCATGTCACGCTAATAATCATTAACTAGTGGTAAAGTGTATTAGCAGATAATGCAGAATAAAGGGAGTGAGCAAACTTTATAGATGCTACCTCCAGTACAAACTACCATTAGCATTAGTGTACAATACGTATAATAGGGAAAAGTGGGGAGGAAAGGACGAGGGGTTACTACCACTGTTACCAGTTTCTAGCATTTGGTGTTAATTCTTAAAGAAGAAAGACATTACTAACACTTTTTAGGTAATTTACTATATCTGAAGGAATGAAAAAGTACGATCCAGGAAGCCTACCTGCTCCCTCAAAGACACAAACAAGCAGCTATTAGTTGCATGGCTAAATACTGTAACATGAGTCTTCGTTGTGCACACAGGAGACAGGTGAGTGGTGCTGGGTCAGAGCCTTAAGCAGCCAGACTAAAGATTTGATGAAATGCTCCTATTATGATACTTTGCAGCCTGTGGAGTAGGAAAACTGGTTACTTGATCCTCTGCTATACCTGAACCTCATTGTTGCAGCTTTTAATAGCTGAATATCCAGACCTCCTATAAAGGTGCCTTTGAGGAAAGAATGATGGGACGAGAGTCAGCATTCAGAGCTAGAAATGGGCAACAAGCAAACCATTTTCACTCCGGAGCAACTGGATGCATATCAGGTATGAAACAAACTAAATGGCTGTTTGGACAGAACATTGAATAATGGTGAGGGCTTTTTTTAAACAATCTCTTTTAAAAATTACTAAGTAGGAACACTAAATTACAGCAAAGATTTTAGTAACATAGTTTGATTCTTACATCAAGAAGAAGGGTTATAAAATACTCCTAATTATATGCCAAAAAGAAAGAGCATTAATGCTTGGCTGCATATGTTACAATATAACTCCATTTAAGTCACTGTACTGGAAAAGTTTGGGCCAATGCGTGCTAAAAACTGTCGTTACATGTTATATCTTTTCTTATTTCATAGGACTGCACATTCTTTACAAGGAAAGAAATTCTGAGGTGAGTCTCGTGTGTGCGTTTTTTGTGTAAAGTACAGAGATTGCTATAAAGACCGGTTACATAGAGGGTGAGGTATTTTTTAAAATAAATTTAAAATTGATTTACACAAACTTAAACTGATACCTTTAAAGCGATACTTAAAGCGATCTGAACATTTTTGTTGGTTTTTATGTACAAAACCTACGTTATCTATCTTAAACTGAGCCAGAATTCTGAATTTTGCATTAAGGTACCAGTCTCTAGCAGAAAGAAACGTAACAAGTTATATTTTGGTGCATACTTTGCCAGTGACATCCATGTTCCCCTCACCTTGTTTTATGACAAATGCTTCAATGTATACTGTTATTCTTTGGGATGCTTTGCCTGTTTTATGAAAACCTTAATGGTTGTGTCAAATTTTATTCACTTTTTTTTCATGTCTTCATGTACATAATTATCCTGATACTCTAAGGTGCGTTTTTCCCAAAGCCTTCATACACCTCACTGAACACGCCATTTAATCTCTGGCCAAAGGATCTGATAAAGGCAGGTTCACTATTCTGTTCATGGGGGGCTGAGAGCCTTCACTGAAAACCTCAACTTGTTCTCCTCTTGTAAAAAATACCTACCCAGATGGTAACGTACATAATATTGAAGTTGCATTTGCCTTTCCAAACCTTTGGCCACATTAACAGAAAGGGAAGTGTTCAGTTCCTGCATCTCTCAAGATGTCATCACACATTTTTTGCTAATTTCTCTGAAGGGCAGAGCACAAGTGACAATTTTGTACAGAGCGTGTCCCTCTTTAGAACCTTGATATCTGTGTATGCATTCTATACAGGATAAAATAAGAATGGTTCTGTAATAATTGAAATCTGTCTGCCTTTCCATGTAGTAAATAGAGGCCAGAAGCATAACTGTGTCATGAATAAGACATTTATTATTGATAAGGATCCCTTTTAAAATTCTGTCCTATTGTTTTGTCGATAACAGCTGTGAATGGGATCCTTACTCTAGCACAAGAACTGAAGCAAATAGCACGCTGAAAAAGTGGTGAATACATTCAAATTATCACACACATTTTCTGCCTCTTGAACCTGAGTTCCATGGAAAAACAGGAAGATACTTGAGGTGGATAAAAACATGGTAGAGTTGCTCCCAGATCTCTCTTCCTGCCCATGGCTTTAGACATTCAGGGGTTTATTCCGACATTTAAACTGAATTTTTCATGCTCCAGTTGAAGCCTGTTATTTTTGGTCACATTCATTGTGGACGTGAAAAACAGATCCCTTTCGCCTTGCCACAAGTTTTTGTGTGTTTGGAAACTGATGAGGTGGACCTTCAGGTTGAAGGTCTTGTGCCTTGCTGTCATGAACACCTAAATGGTAACTACACAAGGTGCCTGAATACTATTGCTGGCAATGTAGAAGTAAACCTGAAACTTTGTGAAAATCTGTTTTCATATACACAGTATGTAGTGGTTTGGCTGCCTGACCTGCGTAAGCATTTTCGCCTAATTGTTCTGTAAGCATGAAGGCTTTGTATTTTTCACCAGTTACACTATGTTGCTCCTTTTAATACTGCCTCTTCCACCAACAACTACAGAGCATACTAAATGTTATTTAGTGACTGCTATCATCCATCTGGTAAAGGATGCAGAGTGTGAAGAATAATACAGAAAAGGCAAACACATTGTTCTCAGAGGTCCAAATACCTTGTTCCCTAAACAAGCCTTTCTTTCTATTTCAGACTGTTTTACAGATACCGAGATCTAGCCCCACAGCTAGTTCCACTCGACTACACCGATAAACCAGACGTGACACTTCCCTATGAACTCATTGGCAGCATGCCAGAGCTGAAGGTACAGAGCAAGGAACACAACTGGAATCGAGTGACACATTTCAGTTTATTCTGCCCTTTTTTAATAATTCATCCAGTACTAATTGCTGGGAGGCTGAAATACAAATGAATTTTGGCTGTTGAAGTCAAAAGTCTTTCTGGAAGCTTCTAGTGATTCCCTGAAAACACCCTGAAATTGCACAAAGGTTAAAGAAGGCTGTAGCTGTGTCTACCTCTGATAGAACATTAGACAAGAACATAATAGCAGAAAGGGGAGTATTTGCCAAAAAGGGGTTACAACAAAAATAATCTCACTCCAGTTGTCTTATCTGTACTGAAATAAATGCTAGTAAAGATGACCTTCCCTTGCTCCTGTGTTCTGTTTCCCAGGACAATCCATTCCGCCAGCGGATAGCAGAGGTTTTCTCAGAGGATGGAGACGGCAATATGACTTTAGATGATTTTTTGGACATGTTTTCAGTGCTGAGTGAAATGGCTCCCAGAGACCTGAAAGCTTATTATGCTTTTAAAATTTATGGTGAGACATGCATAAAAAGTAAACTTTGGGACAATACTGCAGCTTCATGTAGGGATGCAAAATATTTTCATTTTGCCACCGTAATGATTTCTAGTTAGGTATGTTTTTAATACAGCCTTTCTTTTCATTGCATTTGAATGCCTGTTCTCTCTCCTAGAAACTTCTGGTCTTCTTTATCCTTTTGTCTCTACTCTTTTCTTACTTGTTTAGGATTAGGATTTACTACAAAATTTACAACCTGAAATTATCTGCAGTTTTCAAGAGCTGATAAACATTTAAGAAATACTTCTGTCTGAGGGGCTGCTTGGAAAAGTGCAGCACAGGGGATTTGGCTGCCCATAAATCTGCGGGGTGGTTTTGGTAGGGGGGGTGGGAGGCAGGGAAGGACACTTCCAGCATTTTTCTCCAAGGACAAATTTAAAGATTTACTTTTGCAGTACCGTTTTCAGTTACTTTCTTCATGATCAGCTAAAGCCAAACAATATATCAAACCAACCAACCAACATTTTTTTTTGTGATTTAAACTGTACGTGATTCAGCAAAGATGTTAAAAAGGTGAACTCTCACCAAAATCGAACAGCCCAGTCTCTTCCTTTGACTTCATACTATTTCTTGCATTTAGTTCAGTAGTACTGATTTGCTAGAATGATTTAATTATGGCTGGACTATGTTTAGCCCTTAAACTATTTACAATTGTTACCCTTATGTAAGATAAGGAGAAATGATTCCAAGATTTTTATTTTGTTACTGAATTTTTATACAAGCAAATACAGGTAACTGCAAGACTTCATTTCTGATTTGAAAGTTCTACTTATACAAATACATTATGGCCTGGGAACCAAACCCTTCCTATTAGGTCTTGGCAGTCAACCATGTGTCAACCATGTAAAATGCTGACTTTTGTCACTTTGAATCCATTTTGTTTCCTTTGTCAGATTTTAACAA